TTGCACTCAAAGGTGATTGTGCCTTCCACAGTGATTAAGTAAAATCAAAGAAATAAATAAATAACATATAACATAATAACATATAACATATAATATAATGAGTGGTGTCCCTCAGGATTCAGTGTTGGGACTGGTCTTGTTTAACATCTTCATCGCTGACATGGACAGTGGGATTGAGTGCGCCCTCAGCAAGTTTGCCAATGACACCAAGCTGTGTGGTTCGGTTGATATGCTGGAGGGAAAGAATGTCATCCAGAGGGACCTTGACACGCTTGTGAGGTGGGCTGGTGCCAACCTCATGATGTTTAACCATGACGAGTGCAAGGTCCTACACCTGGGTCAGAGCAATCCCAGGCACAGCTACAGGTTGGGCAGAGAAGAGATTCAAAGCAGCCCTGCGGAGAAGAACTTGGGGGTGCTGGTTGATGAGAAAATGAACATGAGCCAGCAGTGTGCGCTTGCAGCCCAGAAAGCCAACTGTATCCTGGGCTGCATCAAAAGGAGTGTGACCAGCAGGTCGAAGGAGGTGATCCTGCCCCTTTATTCTGCTCTCGTGAGACCTCACTTGGAGTATTGTGTACAGTTCTGGTGTCCTCAACATAAAAAGGACATGGAACTGTTGGAGCAAGTCCAGAGGAGGGCCACGAGAATGATCAGGGGACTGGAGCACCTCCCACATGAAGATAGGCTGAGAAAGTTGGGGCTGTTCAGCCTGGAGAAGAGAAGGCTGCGTGGAGACCTCAGAGCAGCCTTCCAGTGTCTGAAGGGGGCATATAGGGATGCTGGGGATGGACTCTTCATTACGGACTGTAGTGGTAAGACAAGGGGTAATGGGTTAAAACCTAAAAGGGGAAGTTTAGATTGGATATAAGGAGGAAATTCTTTCCTGTCAGGGTGGTGAGGCACTGGAATAGGTTGTCCAGGGAGGTTGTGAATGCTCCATCCCTGGAAGTGTCCAAGGCTAGGTTGGACGAGGCCTTGGGTAATATGGTTTAGGGTGAGGTGTCCCTGCCCATGGCAGGGGGGTTGGAACTGGATGATCTTAAGGTCCTTTCCAACCCTAACTATTCTATGATTCTATAACATAAAATTAAAATATAAAATAAAATAAAACAAAATACCTTAAAAAAAAATCTGTGAATATGATGGAGTTCAGGCCAAGCCATATTCACAACATCATCTAGCACCTTCGTTATATTCCCACTTAATCATTCTGTCAGAGTGGGAACAACATATTTTATTCCCATTTGGTTTCAGACGTTGAAGCTTTAAGGAATTATTTTAAATGCATAAATTTTGCTGAAAAAGAAATAGATAGCTAAAGTGGGAGGGACCACTAGTCAGTTTATGTAGGTTCTATTTACATTCTTGTATGGACTCACTGTGCCTTCCTCTCCTAATCAACAACACATAGCAACAACACAGCAACAATGCTACAAAACCATCCTGCAAAGTATTTGGATAGAGGGCATTTATCAGAGCTTTATTTTTTTTATATTAACTGTGAGAAAATTAGTAGAATATAGTCCTTTTTCCTGCCCACTTGCAATTGTGGTTACAGAAAAGATGCATTTCATATGCCACAGTTTCAACCAATAATCAAGCAGTGGCAAAGAAACAATGTCAAAGAAAATATTTTTGAGGACATAATTTATTTTTCATGATTTTTTATTTAATGTGGTGGAATCGTAGTTTAATCTTTGTATTTTAAAGTGAATAACCTCTATCTGAAAGCACAATTCATATGTAAGCCTGAAAGAAAATGTCTTTCCTCAGCATTCCCACTATTAGGCAAGCAGATGGCTCAATCTAAATGACCACGTGAAAGAGAGAAAAAAAAAAAAAAGACCAACACAGATCAATATCCTTACCATGATTCCTGTGTTCCAATAAGCACCAAACCATCAGGAGCAACAGCAGACAGAAAAAGAGCACCAAAATATCATCTGAGGCAAAACAGTAAATAGCTAAAACAGGGTTCGTTGATTGGTTTTTGTTGTGGTTTTTTGTTGGGTTTTTTGTTGTTGTTGTTGTTGTTGTTTTTTAATAAAAGGAATCTAAACAAAAGCCAAAACAATTTTATGCTTAATGTCGGTGCCTATGGTTACCTTGTATGTACATGACAAAACAAGCAACTATCAACGTCTGCGTACAGCATACATATGCCATAGTGAGAAATACACCAAAAGAAAGAAGTATTAATATTTTCACACCAAAAAGAAAGAAGAATTAATAGTTTCACAATATTTCACATAAATGAGTCATTGTACTTTTCTCTTTGGGTGGTTGAGAGAGGCATTTTTAATTAAATAAAATAAATAATAACTTCTTTTTGAAATGGGAAAAACATATCCTTTAAGCAACAGCATGATGATGTCAAACAATGAAATCCCACATACTAATCAGATTAGAGCTGTATTAAAAATGGAGAAAACACACCAGGCTAACAGCTTTCAACACCAAACTTCCTTGCTGCCAGCAGACTTCTCTCCTGGTTGCATCTTTTAGCCCATGGTCCTCTGTCATCAGCTCCCTCCATGGGGGCGCAACAAGGAGCAGATTCATTGATTTGTGAAGATGTGTTGCCCTGAAGCACAGTGTCCTGGGTTCAACTTCAGCCTTAACACACAGACTCATCATGAAACCACCAGTTCTGTTCTGACTTGAGGAAGAGAATGAACCAATTCTCTAAAGGCAATGAAATAGGTAAGTTGGTATGTGTAGATAACACCTTCTGCAGGAAGCAAGCTACTCTTCTGCAACAAAGTTCTTTGCAGGAGATAACAGCTCATCTACATACATATAGTTATTATTCCCCTTGTCAATCTAACTTGTTTAAACAGTATGAAAACAAAACCACAGAAGGTATCTATCTCAAATAGCAGAAAACTAGGAGAGCTGCAAGAGTATTTATTCCTGCATAATACCAACAACTATTGTTCCATTGCAGAACTCATATTTCTTAAAATTTCTGGGTGCAGGTAAGTACCTACCTCAGAGTAGCAGCCAAGATACCTTCATCTTCCTCAGCCTTTGTTCCTGCTAGCTAAAGCCATGGAGTTCAACAAACAAGTTCTCATTGGAACTACTGATGAGGACCACAAATTCATGATGTACCTGCATCTGCTACACAGGTTGAGGGTAGTCTAAAATATAATCCATACAAGTTAATTAAGCACCTAAGTCTTCCTCCAGGGGAACTTACTGATAAACTTAACCTGAAAAAGCATGTAGTTTATAAAGGAAAATTGTAACTTCCCAAGTTACTTCAAGTGAAATACTGACAAGGAAAGCTGAATTTCAGACTCCTTGAAAGGTTCCAAAGACAATTCCTTAAGACTGCTGAACAAATTATTAAAGGTTGAGTAATCACCTGGGTAATCCAAAGCAAGTCTATTATGAATGTATTTTAACTATCAGCTGTGCAAATTCTCACACAGAATGTCAGATACATGAGATTGAGAAATAACAGACCAAAAGCCAAGACAATGCAAAAAAACTCTGTGCAATCCTGACAGAGACAGATCTACTTCATCCAGCATTTGAACCTAGAGCTTGCATGTATGTCAGCCACTAGAGTAAGGTTGTCTGTATTCTGACACTCTATTGCTTGAAATCAGTGGACTTTGGAATAGATATTTGATGAGCAATTTTTACTTAAATACTAAAGATCACAAAATTCATAAGGAAATGTTGCATTTTTTGTCATTTATTTGCCCACCTTCTACTATGATGCCATATCTTTCCTAACTACATTCTGTTGCAATATAGAGATCTAAATGGACTGATAATTTATATATTTCAGTCTGATCCAAGATCTGTCTCATTAGTATACTGAGATGCCATTTCTTCTTCAAGTTGCCTATACATGGAAGGGTGAGTGAACTGATAATCATATTTTAGCATGAACTGTATTATAAAGAAATAATAGTAATTTGAAAAGCAGGTCAAGTGTTCACTAGTCAATTTCAATAATTTAATTAAGTTATCATTTAAATAATCTTTATTTTCCTACTGCTATATTACCGCTTTCTAGGAGGAAACATTTGTTTATTAAAATTTTGGGATCATATCTATCCATTTAAAACAGGGACAGTTCATAAGACATGGAAAAAACACAGCAGACATTGTTACTAAACAAATACTTTGAAAAGCTCTTAGCATAAAACATCCTGCAAATCCCACACATTCCCATACAAACAACTGAAAATAGCCCTGGCTCAAGACCCTTTAAATCTTTTCTAACCCATGGTTTTACAACCCTGTAAATTCTACATTTTATTTTAGGACAACAGACAAATGCATTGTATTTCTACTGTTATTTGCATAAAAAACTGGTCAAAAGAGCAAAAAGTATATATTATACCAAAAAAATAGAATATGCCAAATGTAAATTTGAACACTGCCAAAAAGCAACTGTAAATTTCATTTTGTCAACATGCAAATGGAATGTAGTGCCAATTAGGGTGGATTAACCCGGTTTTTTAAATTCAGACGTCACAAGGCTTTGGAGTTCACCAAACCACTCTTACACACATTCTCTTTGGCTGCCTTGAATCTGTGATAGAGAAACTTCAAAATGCCACAGAAGCTGATCTAAGTAAACTGACTTACTTAAATCTGAGAACTCAAAGTTGAGCAACATTTGCTAGAAATAAATCTCACGTTTCTCATTTTGTGTCAGCAGTTCATACACTATGTATAATATTTAAACATGCTCTAATTCTTATGTGTCAAAACAATCATGTTCATTAATATTTCCATTGCTCATGCACTACTTTTGATGTATAATTTTATAAGAACCATTCCCTAGCTACTTAGTACTCGGCAAGGAACTCAAAAGAAATGGGAATCAAAACTTCAATCACTTCATCCAAATTATGTACTGATATAAAAGCAGTGCTTAAGTAAACCTGCTCAGAGACCTAGAGCAGATAGAAAAAATCCCCATTTTATAAATACCAAGAAATAATCTAAGCAGCATGTGAAATATCACTAACCCTTTTCCAGCATGGAGAGAAATCATTTGCCATAAGTCTTTTTGCCCTCTCAGAAATATAATAACCATCTCACCACAGTCATGGCAAGATGCAGTTTCTATTTTAAAAGAGGAAAGGAGAAAGTTTGATAAACTTCCTATTCATTTTAATGAAATCTGTCTCTCTCTGTTCTCACCAGTTAAGTTAAATTGAAGATATTCAGGTAGAAAAGCAAACAGTAACTGTAAAAGAAAAAAAATACAGGATATTTTGCATAAGTTTTAGACAGCTATTTTCTAAGGAATTCATTAGGCGTACTTACAACTTTAAAATTAGCTGACAATACTTCAGACTCAGTGTATTCATTTAAGAGGTGTTAAGGATCATTCATCTTTACACCTTCATCAACAGTAAACAATAAGATTAGTGAATGATGGTAAATTGGAGTAAAATCTGTATCATCTGGCATTAGAACAAACTCACATAGAAAGCAAGTGAAAAGATTTACCTTAAGCAGATGTGATTTAAACGTGAGCTGAGTATCTTGCATGTCCTGTGGAAAAGAAGTTAAAGAAGTATTCAAAGTACCTTGGCACTCTTAATCAAAAATCTCAGGAGCTCCTCAATGGACTGTAGTGACTTTTCACTGAGAAGTGTATGAATTTACACACTCAATACAAGCAATGGAACAATGCCACCGTATAATAGACTGAAACTTGGAGAGCTACAGAACAGATAGGGGGATTTTTAGGGGAGCTTTGTAAATGATCGTAAACCTCTACTGCAAACATCTCTACCACCTAGGAGAAAAATTACACTCTGGAAAATATATGTGATTTAGATAAACTCCACTGAAACACTGGATGATTTTAGGCTTTTGTGTTTTTTTAACCTGGGCTTCTAGCTGCTGGTTGTCACGATCTGTGGAATAAAGCACTAACCACTCTCTCTCCTGCCTCTGACATTTAAACAGACAAGCCAAAACCCTTAAAAGTAAAATTGTGATGTGCTGGTTTTGGCTGGGGTAGAGTTAATTTGCTCTAGTAGCTAGGGTGGGTCTATGATTTGCATTTGTGCTGGAACAGTGTTGATAATATAGGGATATTTTAGTTATTCCTGAGTAGTTCATACGCGGATTCAAGACCTTTTCTGCTTCTCACCCCACCTCACCAGGAAGTAGGTGCTTTACTTAGTAAACTGTTTCAATCTCAACCCATGAGTTTTCCCTCTTCTGATTCTTTCCATCTCACCGGGGGTGGGGAGTGAACAAATGGCCGCATGGTGCTTAGTTGTCAGCTGCAGTTAAACTATGACAAAGATAGACAAAACTGCTTATAAGTGGTTTACCATTGAAACCTCTCTGTCCTGTCCTGACTGCCAAATTTCTAAAAAACAAACAAACAAGAAAACACACATGAAAAAAAACCCCACAAGACCAACCCACAAAACAAAAGCAAAACAAAACAAACAAAAAAAAAAAATGACAGGGTGGCACATGCTAATTGGATACATTCTTCGGTAGTAAGCACTACCAACCCATGCATTAAGATGCAAGTTTCTGAGGCATTTTAAGAGGAGAACCGAAATGTTTTCTGTTTCTAGGAAGTTTTATGTGTGTTCTTTCTCTCTGGGTAGGGGTTCAATTGTCCTTTCTCTAATCTAAAAATTAAAATCATCTAGATTAAGAGCGCATTTTTTTCTACAGATAGGAAAACAGCACAGAGGCACGACCTTCACTTGGGGGGTCCATTACACACATTCCAGGCAGCTCTGATCATATTTCACTACCCTGGAAGAGATTGTGATGTCCAGAACACTGAATTATGTCATTAATTAAAGAATCGGGCAGGAGGTAGATGATTATAAGGGAGAGAGAATCTGTACTTTTAAAACTATTTTCATAATCAGTGATGATAGTAAGGGAAATAAAGAAAAATTACCTTGTGCTTAACACAAGCATATTGTTTTAAAAGATTGTTCTATATGTAGAAGATGCTATTTAGCTTCAGTGGTCAGCCAAAAGCAAAGTGTAGATTTTAATAACCTTGCCTTAGCATAAAAAAGAGACACAAAAGATTTTGCTTTTGAAGCAAACTTTCTAATTCTTTCTCAAAGTACATATAAGAAAAAAGGTAGGATAAATACCATAATCCATTTAAATTCTCTTTTTTTTAATACCTGAAACAAAATGGGCAGCATGCAAGAGCAAGAATACCATTGGCTAGAGTGTCAGTGATTAGTTCATTAATGGGTTCAAGCAACTGGCCATGCATCAGCATAATATTAGAGGCTAACTGATTTCCCTCTGTAAGCCATTTACAAAACTGAGCATTTGCAAATCATCTCAAGATGCATGTCAGAGAGAAAGATGACAGTGTTAAAGAAATACATTTTTCATTTATTCTATTAGTAATACACACTACTGAATACATTACAGTGCAGACAAAGAGAGACATTTTTTAACCAGTTTGGCAAGAGCATATTGGCACAACACATCACCTACAATGTGGCTTTTTTTCTATAAGACATGATTCAAGCAAGATTTCAGTGAACAATAACGGGATTTGGTGAAATGGTGGCTTTGCCAAATTCCCTATAGACAAATGATCAGTCTGTCAAATTCCCTACAGATATATTTAGATTTTCTGAGAGGCATATGATTTATTTTCTTTAGCCATATTAAAAAATAATAATTAAAAAAAAAAAAACCAAACATGCCTCAATGAAGTTAAAACAGCCAAAAGCAGGCATATCTTAAATACCTGATGAAATTGGAGAGTTAAGATAAGGAAATTATGAAGCTAATGAAAACAATCACTGCCACGCTTAACACAAAGGCCAGAGCAGTCACTGTGCAATGCACACAGATTGAGATAGGATTTGTAGGTGATCACTGGGTGAACATCACATATGCAAAATACTCATGACTTGTAAAAAAGAGTGATAGGCTACAGACAGACATAGTTTTTTGTCTTTCCCAATATTTTTGCTTGAATTAGGCACAGAAGAAATACACATGAGATTACTGCAGCTTTTCATTCCCATATGAAAGAAAATATTGTTTGCCATCCTCCAGAAAACTGAATTCCAAAGTGGCCCTAAAGATAATACTGACTGGCACTTAATTACTTACTTATGGAAAAAGAAGCTTGTGAAAGCAGCCTTCACAAGGTGAAGATAAGCAACAACAAGAACCATCAGGAGTGCACGTCTAACAATTTCAGATGCTTGATTATTCCAGTAGTAAGAACCAAGCTAACAAAACTGGAAGCACATAAACTCTCCAAGACAATGACCAGAGACAATACCACATCCCACAGTACATAATTAGAGCATGTATAAGCTTGGAATGTTAAATTTTAAACAAATCAATTCCAGCACTCCATACAGCAAAAATAAATTACCCAAATAGTTTATTTGTAAAGTCATAACTTGTGGGCAATTCTCACATTTTTTAAGGACTGTAGAAAAATGCATGCATTGTTAAAAGGTGCCTTAAATAATGAGTGAAAAAGAGGAGGTACAAACAGGTATGGGCAGTCCTCTGGAGCAGGAAGTGAGTTCTTTCCAGTTCCTCTTTCTCATATTTCATAACGGAGCAACTTTAAAAGTCTTCCATTCATTAGAAGCATGAATTTATATTTCCAAGGAAACTTTTACTAGGAAAAGACTAGAAATCTGCATTTTAAAAATGAAAGTCCAAATTCTCTTTCATGGGCACTTCAAATTCCAAGTTTATTTTTAGAAAAAAAAAAAAATCACATTGCCAGATTATCTATATTGCATTTTTTTTCTCCTGGTTTTCAACATATATCTCTTGAGGGCTTTTGCTTAGTCCACCTTAGATGCTTCTGTTCCACTATTTTTTATTTATTTTTTTTACTTAGAAGACATGGAGCTCTGGAGAGGGAGACTGAAGGAAAAGTCTGATGTCTTTATGATATCACCTGCAGTGTGCACCAGCAGGGAGTAAGAGACATGGCAGTGTGAAAGCCAGCTTACAACTCTGAGAATCCACTGCCAAAAATCCACAGAAAGAGACAGCCACTGTGATTTGGCTGGAAGCATAGTTCAAGCATTACTGTGGCAAACATGCAGATGCTTAACAGGTAGGCAAGATCCCAGCTAATGGACTCCCCATACGAGTTATTCATCCACTCTACATACTGACTTCTGTCTGTTTTCTTGCATCTGTTTTTACATTTAAATTCTAAAGGCTACTTTTTAGCTCTATTGCTCTTTAATGAGACAAAACTACATTGCATCATTAAACACTTTCATAGCCTTGTTTTCATTTAAACTTGTTTTCTCTTTTCATTTAAATTTATTTTCTTTTATTCTAAGACCATTTTGCCTCAGGAAATTTTTCTTCTTCCATCTACATTCTCAAGCAACTACGCATATTTTTGTATTGCTAAAAAGTAATATCCATGCATTTTTTAAATACTGACTTATTGACAACGGATTGAGGCTATTTTGACTCCTTCTATCCCCCCACTACCACAACTATAACCTGAACAGCTGCAGAGAAATTAAAAAATAATCAAATTGGTTTAGATAGGAAGAAGGGAGTGGGATAGTAAAGAGAAATCCTTCAGCATCACTATTTGTCAATATACAGCTGCTCCCTCATGTAAAGAAAAGTTAAATTTAAAAGGTAATTTATGGCAGTTAAAAGAAGACCCTGAAGAAATCTAATATAGAACATATATTTAAAGCATTTCTCCATATATATCCACAACAAAGCATTTGATCATTATTTAAGAATAAAAGTGCACGTTAACAAAGAAGAACTATGACTGCTAAATTCTACATAGAAGCATAAGCAGGCATTCTTCCCACAGACAAATGCATCATTTTTCCTTATATTATAACAAGCTATTCAAGGACTTCACTGGGAATCATGATACACTTGTAGAACTTATTCTTAATGAGATTATACTAATCAAGCTTAAATTAGCATTTGTTCTGGATACACATGCAGAATTAGTGTGCATGTACACATATGCAGGCTCGTGAAAGTATTACTGATCCAAGGAATAACGTGCATGTAGTAGAACATTTTCACCATGAAGAAAACTGGTATCAAGAACTCTGCAAATATAGCAGTAGATTAAAGTCACCATATTACTGTGATCTGTTTCAGGAACAAATAAAGTATGCTATTATCTCATATACTGTGGAATACACAGAACTACAAACAGAAGTGTTTCAATTCAATACAATATGAAAAATT